CTCATATATTATAGATATTCGAGATACACCATGGATGACCCAGCAAACTGCCTGGCACGCTGTCTTGGTGGTGCATCCGCGTCCAAGACCTACATTTCATGTGGAGATGTCAAACAGGGCTGGAAATGGGAACATTTCATCCATGAAAAAATGCTGGCTTTGTCCAAAATCCCCAAAAAAATGCATGTTCATAGAGAAAATGATGATTAAACAGTGAATTGAAGGGTACCCTGGGTACCCTATTTTCAGACAAACTCATTTGACCAAAATGAGAGAACAACCCACAGAAACCGCAGAATGGGAAGTCAACAGCCAACCACCGACTTCGCACCTGCCCAAAGCGAGCTGATGCCTCGGAGATCCGTGGAGTCCATTTGTTGATGGGTTAGAAACCCATCGAATGTAGGGAAATGATGTACTTGTTGCCAGGTGGATCATAACCCAATTTGGGAGATCAATTGGGGGTTGATACATTTACCATCTGATTACTTAACATAGCCATGCAAAATCTCCATTTTTAATAGGTAAACCATCTATAAATGGACCATTTTCCTTAGCTATGTTAAATAACCAGAGGGTTTAAAAAAATGAGGTACCCCCAGAATTGTCAAAAAAGGTTCCCTGGCACAAGGCAGATTGGCAGGATCTTGACCAAAGTGTGAATTTCTGCACCCAAAAAGCTGGGAAATTCATGGAGTTTTTCGAAATCGCTTTTAACCAGGATGTATCCTGTGCATTCTATTCTCCCATCAAACTTAAATCGCAAAAAAATTACCCATAGCAAACGACATACTTTCAACCATTTCATAACAGTCCACTCGCTTTACCCAGCGCCAGAATTGTACTCAGCCGCCCCTCGTTTTTTCCTCAGCCGTGACACCCACATCTGTGCAGCCCAGAAGGCTGCAGAGTTCAGGCCACGCGTGCGGATGTTGAACCTCGATTGGTCGGTGACCAGGTGTCGGAATTCAGGGGCCCAGATCCCAGTTGCAACCGGGGTTGCAACATGGCCTGGCCTATGCCAACACTACTCAACCATGTCAGGGAAAAAAATGATGACGTTTTTGTGCTATATCAATCAATTCTTCCACTTTTGGTCCACAATGAAGCCATTCGCCTACCAACCACAGGTTTTTACAGATAACTGTCCCTGACTGAGGTCCATATATGTAGAAATACATTCAAATATCAGTTGCGTCTGGATGATGTGGGTCAGGGCGTGATACAAAATCCATACAACAACTCTTCAGCTTGCGTTCTACTGAAACACAGACCCGCAACCAAAGGGTGCTGATCCTGGTCAAACCCTATGATTCCATACATCAATTTAGCATCATTTATATCAGAATATTAAATGATATTCTATTGGAAATATATGATAATTGCAAAAATATCGACACTCTCATTCCATATATTTCAATTCTATCAATTCTGATTGGTCAGAGTGTTGATATATCGACACTCTCATTCCATATATTTCAATTCTATCAATTCTGATTGGTCAGAGTGTTGATATATACATATCATATATATATATATTGCATACATATATATATATATTGAACAACACTTCCCTATGCTATTTTGGTTTGGTCAGAGTTGGAACCGATGAGCCAAACCCGAAGCCAGATGCACATGGCATCGACATCGTGCCCCGTGTCTTGGTGTCTTCGTGGCATTTCCTAGGAAATTACAGTTCTACTGTTGTAATTATTCTACTGTTGGAACTGTCCGATATAATTTCCATTCCCGAAAACTCAAAACTCTCCCATAGAGTGGCTGATGCCCTGGCAGACCTCGATCTGCGTCGTTTGGTCTATCCTGAGAATCCATGCTGGTGGCCGTTGAAACCGTTGAAGTTGTAGGTGTAGAACCAGTTTGAAGCCAAGTAGAAGAGCAAATTACCTCAGCACCGTTCAGTTGCAGTTTTTTTGGAGGTCACAACCGTCACAACTGCTGACAGCCTTGGGATTTTTCAGGGGATTCTTGAGCCAGGGAAGAGATGACACGACCTTCATGTGGTCACAGTTGAGGGTTTGGAGAATCTCCAAGGTCCTCTGATATGCGGAAAATTACAGCTGGTTCCAAGCACAGGTTCCACCTGAAACAAATGGCTCCATTTGAAAGCCTTGTCTGAGTTGTGTCCCCACAAAACACCTTCCGAATGCTATAGGCAGAAATGCTCAAAACTCTGCTCTGTTCACGAAGTGAAAACCACCTTTTTCTACCCCTCCAACTATCCCTCCAATTCATTAACCGACCGTGAACAGGATTGGTTGAAGATCCTAAAACCGACCCGTCCATCTGTTCCTGAAATATGTACAATAACCCAAATCTGTGCTACAGCACATGTGGACCCCCACCCCATCTGCCCTTCTTGCCACCAGCGGCGAAGAATGAAGGGATCCTTCAATGCCATAATGGCCTCAATAGAAGCATAAAGATCATAAAGGTGGGATGACCATCATCACGAGGTGATATTGATGGGATATGGTAACCTAATGATATACTAATGGAATATCAATGGAATATTGGTGAATACCATCTAGTCATCATGGTAACGTAAAATCCCCCCATTTCTTGATGTTTGATGACCGGAGGGCATCAATTTTGGGGCATTTGGAGGAGACTTGAGGCATTCCCAATACCAAACGGATCTAAATACATCTAAACCTCTCCGAATATCTCTAGATATGAATATGATCCAAAGATGGCTTTGTCTCCAAACTATGGTACCCCCGAACTCCATGGTTTATCCTCATTTTCCCAAACTTCAAATGGTGGGGGGCGAACTCCACCAGTTTCACAGCCATGTCCTATCCGCATCCCATCGATTTGTCCAGGAGCTGATCGAAATTCATCCGAGGCTGACTCGGCCTGGGGAAAAAAACATCGGGGATGGAACAGACATCGATCGCATCCCATGATCCCCATGTAATTCCTTAAGTTGGGAGGTTTAGATGTGGGATTGGGGGGGATGGGATTGGAATAGATCTGAGGAATTGTGTGTGTGTATTTAGTGGAAAATCAGCTAAATTAAGCCTATAAAATGCAGATTTCAGATGATTTCAGCCATAGGTGGGCAGGGCCCCCAGGGGGTTCTCCGAATCAATGCATTGATCACATCCCCAATCCTATTTTGCTGGGTTGCTAATATACAACGAGATTGTTGGGAGTTCAGTTGGCGATCTCATTGGCTTCGTGCGTTCCTTCTCTGTGGCTGACATCAGTATGGGTCAAGTCATAGGGTGCCTATGAACCTGTCCCTCACCGAGGTGTTCCCCTGCCCCACAGGGCCTGTTGAAAGAGGACTGGACTTCCATCCTCGCGCACTACAGAAGACCTCGCCAGGAGCAATGCTACTATTTCTGAGGTCACAAGAAATCCTGCACAACATCTCTTCTGGCAAGCTTGGAAAAATTCGAGTGCCCCTTATATCTATCCCCTTATCAGTTTCAAATGAGCTCGTAAGTGCCCCAGACTACCTATCAAAACCTGGGGATTTGTCGAAGCCACAGATGGGCTTCCCCACAGAGGTCTAGGAAAATGGATAGAACGGCAATGCGGTGGGCATAAATTCATACCACCAACACTTTTTTCAGCATCTTGAGTATAAATTCATAGAATTCAATGTGTTTAGATGGAGGACTGTGTCAAAACACAATCATTGAAGTAGTGTGTTCAATGATAGGTTGGAGACGTAGCAATCTTTAATTTTAATGGCCATGGCGAACAGTCACGCTTTGGCCCTCTATCATCCCCAGTTTCTGGCTGGTTTTTATTTGCAACGCATTCACTGGAGGATAGTCAACTCCCAAGCACTTGGTATAGCCCCATCTTTCATCATCATCATCATCATCATCATCATCAATATTCATCAATATTCATCAATATTCATTAATAACCATTATAACCATTATATAACCATTATATAACCATTATATAACCATTATATAACCATTATATCATAACCATTGATAACCATCATCATCATCACCATGGGTGATTCCCATGCAGCCAAGTAGCGGCTCCGCAAGCACCATGGGTGCCATGCATGCTCCAAGCACCATGACCTCCGTGACCCAATTTTGGGGTGCCGACTCCGGCAGCGGAATCAACAGGTGCCCTGTTTAATCGTCCAACAAAAACTGCGAAAAAGGATGGTTTATGATGGTTTATGATGGTTTATGATGGTTGATTATGGTTTATTATGGTTTATTATGGTTTATTATGGTTTATTATGGATACTCAGATCCTCCAACCTTGAAAGGTTCATGGTTGACTGCACTAATTTTCTCCAAAGCATCGCATTTTTGGGCCCCGCACCGAGACGAACCTGGGCAGGATTGGTCCCGAAATGCTGCCACTGCCACGATCCAAATCACCAGAAATCCTCTGCCAAGGCACGTGAAGTAAGAAATGGGGCTGGCCTCGGCAGTTCCACCATGGCAAATTCCTATTTCAGAAAGGTTGGAGGTCATAACAGAGCGACCTCAGAACCAATCCTGCTTTAAACGTGCTTAAACACAGAGCTTTTCAGTATGCATCTGTTCTGTTTGGAGAGAAAAAAGACACCACGCATCAACCTGCGTTTCCAGTGTAAGAGGAAGGGGTTGAATAAGGGTATTCACAAGAGAATGAAACACATCCATACGGATACCCACCACCACCACTGCGCAATCTCGCTTGCCAGAGATCACGTGACCAGCTGACATCTCGCTCTGGGAAACCCCACGTTGGCACCCTCGGTGTGGAAGTTCAAGGCGAATTGAAGCAAACCACCCATGACTCCTGCAGTTCTGTGGCAGTTCAGCCAGTTCAGCCAGTTCAAACTGAGAAAAGAGCCTGGATTTACTAACTTTTACTTGGGGATCGCGCTGAAAACAATGTGGCACATTTCGCCCAACACAGAAAAATGCAACCTGCCCTTTCAAAAAACCAGCCGTTTGCACCTCACCACTTCGTGGGTGGCTCAGTCCACATGGCCACATGGCCACAAGGGATCCCAAGCTCCTCCCAAGTTAAAGATGACCCAAAAGATGGAGATCAAGCGGCCTGGAAGCAGCGAACTGGCGGAACTGATGGAGTTGGGGGCTGGTGACCGCTGGTGCGGCTGATCAAAATCTGCATACCATTCACCTCCAGCATCCTCCAGCCCTTCTCCACGGCCTCGCGATTTGGGCGTGGCGTACGCCATCATCAACGAACCTGGCGATGGCGGCACGGCCTAAAAATAGCCGTGCCATTCCAAAAAAGCCACTGAAATTGAAGCAATGAAACCAAAAAATGGCTCGTTATCCAGTAGAAACCATCATCTCTCGAAATACTTCGCATTCTGAGAGCATTCCATTGATTCCATCAGGCCATGCATCTTCCCACCCTTCATGGCTGAGCTTACCCGGCAGTTTACCCATCAAAGCCATGAAAACCCAAAGGGGCCATGCCGGTACCCAGCACCTTGTGCGGCCCAGAAGAAGCCCGCACCCACACCTGCGGAAGCCAGAAGTATCAGCTAGAGATCTATATATTCAATATGTTATATATATATATATCTATATATATCTATATACATTTGGAGCTAGATATATGAAGCTAGATATAGTATATTACTATACTCACTGTTTTGTTTATATATATATATAATTATATATACATATATCGAAGATATCTAAATCATTGTAAATTGAGATATATGGTATTTCATAATATGTATATATCTGTGTATATATATATATTCTTGGACCTTCGACCGATTCTCCTGGCTGCCCCGGTGCCGCGCCTAAAACGACGCCACCAAGGAGCGCCAACGCTTTGATCTGTGCCTTAGCTATGTTCATCCCAAAAAAAAAGCATTGCGAACCTAGGTTTTGACCCATCCCCATGGATGAAACCATAAGATTGGATGATCTCCACGGAAAGATTGGTTCGGAGAGTGTGGTTCAAGAGTGTATACTATTATATATATATATATATAGTTTTTATATATAGTTTTTATACGCTATTAGTAGACACGCTATTTTTTGGTTGGTGTCTACTTCGTCAACTTCCAAGCGCATGAAGCGCATGGGAGTGGCTAACCTGCCAAGAGGCGGAGAAGAAGATGCAAATGGCATAGAAGGCATAGGTCAGCCCGCCTTAAAACCCCCCAGGATGGGGAAACGCTTCAGGTTAAGCCCCTGGTTTTGACGAAAGTGAAAAGCCATTGCTCGTCATCCAAAAAGCCAAGGAACCAAGGGACAAGAGCCTTGGCTGATGCAGAGAAAAGTCGGGTCCCAAATTCATTTTGAAAAGTCATGGGATTCCATTTTGATATGTGTATCGGTGCATGATAACCTAGCCCAGATCCTAGTTTGACTTGAAAGATGTTCCCCCCAAACCCCACGGTCGCCCATGCCCAAATAACACACCCAAACAACATTATCTACTTGTCACCAAAGGATGAAGGAAAACACTGCTGTACACTGCAATTTTTGACTTTAGGCTTTCAGGATTTAGGGATTTAGGGTTTAGAGTCTTAGGGTTTCAGGGTTTTTGTATTTGTTCTTCAAGGAACACTAGCCCGGACTTGAGCATGTCAAAGGATATGCGGGATCCGTCACCGGCAAACATGGGGTTGCAGCGAATATGTTCGAAGCTGCCTTCAAACACACCAGGGATTTCAAACACAATGCCATCAAACAGCGGATCTGTATACCCTCTGGTAAACTAACGTAACTATGGAAAATCACCATTCTTAATGGGTAAATCCACTATTTCTATGGCCATTTTCTATGTCGCTTTTCGTATGTTTACCGCAGGGTACATCACCGAAGATGCTTTCAGCATTGAACCTGAAAGCCAAGGTGTTCATGATTTCTCGTTGCCAACGATCCAGGTGGAACCTCCCGACTTTGCACTCCGCTGACCGAGCCACATCTTGGGGCCCCAAAGGTTGAAGGCCACCGCGCCAAAGTATCCGAAGATCGCAAAGGTACCTGGATCTCGGCAGAGGGGGGACTAGGATCCATCGCTCTCGGCATCAATCCAGCGATCCGATCGATCTCGGCATCCCGATTTCTCTGAAACTGTGCTCGAAGATTCGGTATTTAATATGATTTAATGGAAACTGTGGACACTTAAACCTTGATCGATCTTCGCCGATGATCACCGGCGGAAGATTCACATAGCTGGGCCCATCCCCCATTTGGACAAGAGACAGTAGAGGCATCCGTTGGCCATGGCAGCTACTTGTGCGTCGCTGGAGCCAGCCTCAGGTGATGCCGCGCAAGGCCGGTTCAGTTGATGCGGTTTCCCCCAGATGTGATCCATCTCCACAGCTCTAACCTGAGAAAAATGATGAAAAATTGCAGCAAAATTAGATGAATTCCAGCATAGTCCAGCCAAATTTCGCTCGGATAGCTCGATCCACTGGTCTTTTTGCGACTTGACCAGACTTTAGAGGTCAATGTCCTTTGGATCTGAACCAAATCATTGATTCTTGTCAGGTGCCATTATGCATCAACCCAGCCATTTCAGCGCGGCCGAAAAATCTTAGCCACGCCAATCAAGTCAAACCTTCTTCCGTTATTTTGAGTTATGTTGTTAAAACAATAATAGACCAGCCATTTGGGAAGGGTAAACATAGCACCTAGAAAAATGCTGATGACTATCCATATTACCACAAGCCACCCAATTTCCGGCAAATACCCCGATCCTAAGCCACTCCGCACAGCACCACCCAGCAACGTTGCCAAGGCCGTTGAGCGCATTGAAAAGTCCAGGGCCACAGAAGGCGAGGAAACCAATGACCTGCTGGTGCTCATTGGATTGATTCGCTTGGATCGACCTGCAAAAAATATCGAAGAAAAAAACATACCCTCTGGTAATTTGTTGCAGTTTGCTATTGAAAATGACCATTTATAGTTGATTTACCCATTAAACATGGTGATGTTCCATGGTTATGTTAGTTTACCAAAACATATCACCAAAACAAAAACGTGTCAAATATATATCTGGAAACATCACCAAAAATAAAAAACATCCATGGATTGATTTAAGGGATCTTTTTCAGGAAACATCAGGCAGTCGGTTTTCGGTGTCTTTTATCGCCCTGAGGCTCCGGGCCACCACCTGAGACTTGGCATCTGCCCTGGAGAGATGAGACGGGGGAGATACCTATGAACTGACACCAGCTTATCATCATGTGATGGTTAACTCCCCATCATTATTGGTAATAACCAAAGTATTATTGGAAGTAATTATGATAATTACTGGAGTTACCTATGCTTATGACTACAAATAGCTACAAATAGCTGGTTGGTGGTTTTAACATGTTTTAACCATCTTGAAAAATATGAGTTCGTCAATGGGTTGGTAAATTCTATAAATATTCTATATCTGGTTGGTGGTATACCTACCCCTCTGAAAAATATGGTCAGTTGGGATTATTATTCCTAATATATGGAAAATAAAAATGTTTGATGCCACCAACCAGATTATCATATGACTGGGAATAACCATGGGATTTTTGGATGGTTAAACCCCATCATTGCCCATATTTTTTACCAGTTACCCAGTTTTTTTAGCCATAGTTAATCCCAAGCCATATGAGCAGTGGCTGCGATCCACCCCTGTTGGTTGATGATTAGTTCGGGGATTATTTTCTACCCTTCATATTTTGGGGGATTTTGAACACTGCTCATATGATTGGGGGAATAACATGGAATCACCATGTGTCAAAACCCATGGTAACTGACCAGGTGTTTTTTCCAACTGGGGGGAAGAACCATCAGTCCCAGCGATGACTTACGGATCGTCCCGCCCATCAATCAGGCCCTGTCTCACCACATGATGGATGGATAACCACCAGCGCTACCCAGTGCCCATCAGGATGAAAGTATCTCTTAAAAGGTGGCAAAATCCCTGGATGAATCATCAAAATCAGTACAAAAGTGGCCCATACTGAACACACAAAGTGACCAAAACCAGGCCACCACCTCCATGCAGCACCTGACCTGGGTCCCTTGTCATCGTCTTGTCCCATGCAGCCCTGCAGCTGAGCAAATGGAGGTGCTGGATGGGCCAGATGTTACAGGTGGTATTTACCTCATGATTTCCAGGTGCCCGACTCTTGGATTTATTGGAGGGTTGCTGCATGATGTCATATTTTTGCTGAAGATATGCTGTAGAAAACAGAGGTTACCCCAGGAGCTGTCCATGGCGAAATCCACCAGGCTGCCCGGCGAGCTCAATGGCCATGATCCCTCGCCATGGTTTCTCACCGCGCGCACAGAGCGTTGCGCGTTGCGTTGCAAGCAATTCTTGTAGGATTGAAAGATCCAAAATGCTTGGGAAACGTGTGGCAATTGGATCTGCTGCTTACTATCGCACTGCCAGTTTCAAACTCGACAGCTGCAAGTAATTTTCTGCAATTTACGGACGTGGAAAGAAACAGGGCTTTGGCTGAATTGAGTCAGTTGGGCTTCTTGTAAACCGTTTAAACCAGCGGCAGCCACAAACAGCTGCACTCCAAATGCTGTCAGTGACCTGGGCAAAGTTGTCTGGTGGGTTGACAAGGCCCCCACTCCCCAAATCAACAACGTCTCTGAGATTCGCATCGCCCGAGCGGAAAGATCCGAAGAACTGGTTTTTTTTTCTGGCCCTCAGACTGATCTCACTAAACTTACCATCTGGTGAAATGACTAATTGCCAGTTCGCCATTTGTCAAGATCCACCATGCTATTAAGTTCGGTAGTCACCATCTATTTCGATTAGGGCCATGGCTTAACCATGGCAAACTGTTAGTCATAGCCAGGTTGGGTCACCAGTTATGTCGACCACCAAATCAGCCCATCCACACCTCCTGACGCCTCATCTCTTTCAGCACCTCCTGGTAGAATGGTGGATTTCACCAGATTCAAACGTTGCAGGAAAAACATCATTCAACTACTAAAGTGGAAACTTTACGGGGAAATTCACCAAAGATTTCTGATCTGATTCTTGGAAAAGTGTGAGTGCACACCGATTTACGAAAAAAATATCCTGGTTTTGGAGGGATTTGTTTCGGTTGATCTCCGATGGCTAAGATTGGTACGTCACAGCATTTGATTCACCAAGCATGAACTTGCAGAACTGAAAGGTGAAGATGGAACTTTGCTCAGCTCAGCATCAATCAGTATCCGTTTCTGGTGGGATTGTGCGTTGGTGTTCATGTCTATTTTGAGTGGCTACACAAATGGTGAAGCTTCAAATGGTGAAGCTTCAAATCTGAACGGAAAGTCCGACGCCAATGTTGCATGGAGCCAACCATCAGGCACAAATTCACAACTGCCAAATTATCTGGGTACATTGGGGCTCCCTTAGTCCCTCCGGCGATCCAAGCAATGCAAAAGCCGACTGCAAAAGATGAAAAGTCATGGAAAGTCGTCTCTGGAGGGGATAACAAATTGTATTACCATCTGGTTATTTAACATAGCCATGGAAAATCACCATGCTATTAATAGATATTAAGTTCGGTAAACCATCTATTTTGATTAGGGCCATGGCTTAACCATGGCTATGTTATAGGTAAACCATCTATTTCTATGGGCCATGACTTAACCATGGCGAACTGTTAGTCATAACCAGAGGGTAATGCCTAAAAAAACCCTCTGCCACATCCCATCGCCTCAGCTTCCTCGGCAGTGCCGCTCAAGGCATCAATCACCGCGTTGTAGGCCACGGCGTTGGGTCGAATGCCACTGGCCGGGAACTCTTGGAGAAACACCAGGGGCCCGGGGAAGATGTTGAACACCCTCCGGTGTCAAACATGCTTTGCTGGAAAATAGCCTTAAAAAAATAATGGAAAAAGTTGTCTATACATGGAAAATCAACTACAAATCTATAAACGGAGGTTTTAAGTTTTAATGGACAAAGTGATCTATAAATGAAGGTTTTTATGGGGAAAATCATCTAGAAATAGGTAATTGTCCATTGCAAACTTTGATTACCACAGGGTATCTGGGGTTTCAAGCCTCCAAGCTGCTGGCATTTGCATGAATGCTCATGCATAGTTCCAGGCAACGAAGTCAACCAGTGGGTTCGTCGAAAAAAATGTTGAGGAAACCATGAACTTGCCCTAAAATGAGGGTTAATCGGTTAATCCCCCATTCTCCCAAGTGGGAAAAGGACAACAGGCAGCCTCTTGGACATCTCTTCCAGCATCGATTCAGCTCGCTCCGTCAGAGCAGCCTGTGGCATCTGTGGCGTCTGCCAATCTCCGGAGTCAGGGGCGGTGAAAAATTTTGCTCAGTAAATTCCATGAATATCCAGAACGCTTGGGGGCTTAGGGTGTTCGCAACTTCTGCATCCATGAGGGGATGGATTCTGCGGTTGAAGAAGATCCAGCTGCTTGGAGTCTGACATCCCCCATGTGTGTTGGTCAGAAAAATTCCTGTTGCTTTTGCCTACTTGTTGTTTCAGTAAAAACATTACCATTTTTTGTTGGCTGAATCAGGCCGAATCCCCTTTTCTTTCGTTCTCCAGAACAAGAATGTGCAGTATCCACATGTGTTGATATCCCCCTAATGTGTTTCTCTTTGATGTCTCACAGTTATTTTCTGCAAAAAACGCGGCTTTTCCGAAAAAAAAAAACTCTGCCTTGGCGTAGCCGCTGATCAGGGAACTGTAGCTGATCACATCTGGTCTGGCAGAGCGGGAGCTGGGAAATCGCGATGAAAAATGAGGATTTCAATGGGAAAAGATCATCGAAGTCAATGAGGAATCGTCCAGCCATCTTTGATTACCCAAGGATATAAAAATCTGGGGTTATTCCACAACAAATAGGAGATTATTCATCAATCCAGAATAATGTTGTGGAATACGTGTTCAATTTTATATTCAATATAGCAATAAATTTGAATCTGTTGTGTCCGTTCATGTTAGGAATTTTAGGCTTTCCCAGTTCAATGAAGCCACTTCCGCTTTCCATGGATTAGACCCTGATAAATCGAGCATGGAAGTCGGTAATCAAGAGCTGACATATTTCCGCTATACCAAGGCTGCCCAACATGGATCAAATGGATGTGGGTCAAAATGGAAGACCTAGGGAACCACAGATGTTAGTCTAGTTCAGTATTAACCATCCATAATTTTGGGGTACCTAATTTTGACCCATAGTCAAATATGATCAAATGATGTCACCCCAAGGCAGGTTTTCAGCGATCCTCTCTAGTCCCAGACCTCAGGTCCTGCTGTAGTTCTGCCAGCAGATCCTCAGCAGTCGCCAAGTCTCCTCTGCAGACATTTTTTTCCCACGAACCTGAGATATTCATAGATTGGCTTGATTCAAAACACATGAGTTCATATATGCTTTCAAAAAATGAACTAGTTCATAGATATTCCTGATATCCCTGGCAACTGAAAAAAATTACTAGCCATGTATTGACCTACACAGTTTTTTCTGGATATGATCGTCCATCAAGCATGGCAAAGAAAGGACAAACAGAACTGGTTGGTGGTTGAAAATGGCCATAAAAATAGTGGATTTACCCATTCATAGCATGGTGATTGATCCATTAAAAATGGTATATCATCTGGTTGGTGGTTTTTCACCACCCCTCTGAAAAATCATGGAGTGAAAGTCAATTGGGATGATGATTATTCCCAGTTAATATGGCAAAATAAAATTCATGTTCCAAAGCACCAATCAGAAAAGGTGGTGTACAAAGTCTTGTCTCAATTTTTGAGAGTTATGCTTCTATGAAGGTGCTGTCTATCACCCTAAGCATCCATCCCAAAGTCGGAACTGGGACTAGACATCCAGCTTCATCGCGGAAGAAATTGGATGGGTGGTATTTTTTCGGCGCAGTTCACCCTGGGGTGGTTCATCGATTGCTTGTCAATGGCCAAAATGTGAGTTCTGATCTGCCCCAAGGACTCGAAACGGGCAAAGAAAGAGACGCAAAAAGTGACAATATGGAGGTTTCCGAAGTCATGGGGGTACCCTCAAATCATCCATTTTCATAGGAGTTTCCATTATGTATAAACCATGAAAGAAAAAGGGGGGTACCCCCATGACTTCGGAAACCCTAATATAGGATCCTGGCGTCGAACCAGGGATCCGTTTCACTGAAACGCGATCCCTTGGCATTACACTTTAAATTTCGCATCATTGGCACTCTGAGAACCAACATCCTTAAAGATTCAAGGCGGAACATTATGTAACATGCAAACATGTTCCAAGATATCTATGCAAACCACTTTTTTTGGATAGTAGATGATAGCTGTGCCGAAGTACAACGAAGTACTCTCCTCCGCCCCAAAGAATCATCAGATCATCAAATCCGCTTGTTGTTTTTACCATCACCATCTGGTTATGACTAACATAGCCATGGAAAATCCCAAACATACAGTAAATGGAGGTTTCGTTCGCTGGGAAAATCAACCATCTATACCATGGCGAACTGTTAGTCATAACCAGGCCGGGTATAGCCCATTGGTAAACGTTAACAAAAAACTATGGAAAATCACCATGCTATTAATGGGTAAATCCACTATTTCTATGGCCATTTTCAATAACCAGTCCTTCTTGCACCGCAGCATTCAATGCAGTGTTGTAAGTCACCACATCCCGCAGAAACCTGTCCAAGGGTCCAAGGATGATCCCAGAGGCGAGGCTGGCTCATCCCACGTAAGTAACACAGCGGGCTCTGCGACGTTTTTCGGTCGCTACACTCCACAGCGGTAGGAGAACAGAACACTTGTGACTTTCGGTCACTTCCAAACAGAACATTTTCTGAGACCAAATTCACTGGATTGGTTTAAGGGAAAATCTACAGGAAACCATGGTTTTTACCATCAAATATAGGACTTTCCTGTAAATTTTCCCTTAAACCAATCCATTGAAAACATAGAAAAACGGTGATCACCCAGTTCCGCCCAGACATGCCTTGGCATCTCGTGCAAGATCCTTTGAGCGGTCCTGACTCTGCGTCTAAAAATCCCAATGGGGCCACGACCATTCCCGAATGGTACCAAAACACAAGACTTGACCATCGCAAATCTATGCAAATCTATGGATTCGTTGCTATATTCAAGTCAAAATCGGTACCCTCTGGTAATTTGTTACATAGCTATTGAAAATGGCCATAGAAATAGTGAGTTTTCCCATTAAAAATGGTGATTTTCCATAGTTTTTTGTATGTTTACCAGAGGGTATGCCATAGTCATGGGCTGTTTCATCCCAGGCCTTGAATCTCCAGCCTCACAGGCTCTACGAAGGGCGGAAAGATTACCAAGGGCATCGTAGGTGTCATAGAGGTACGTGTTGTGGAAAAAGGCTATAGATATAGTCTATATAGATCTATATAGTTTGTCTTGACATTACATATATATATATATATTTATGTATATATATATACACACATTTATATATATATATATATTATATGTATATATATATATTACATATATATATATATATTATATATTATATATATTATATATATTATATATATATAAGCCAAACACTCGACAGATGGCGAAGTTAGATGAGGCACGTTCCTTTCGGCAAGTGAAACATATGAACTGAAGCCCCAAGTTTGAGGGAAACCTCTGGTTTGATGATACTGTGGATGGGCCAGCGAAATCCCAATCACCAGTTGATGGGTGGTAAACATCCCATTATTTTGTTTGGGCTTCAACCATCCAAGGTGGTGCAGGATTTCTTCCATCCACGCTAGTTTCAGCTCTGCAAATGATCGGCGCGCACTGCTTTTATATTGTGCGAAGAGGTGGAGCGAGTTGCCTATGGTTTGGGTTCAAGAAGCTAGCAAATGCTAGAAGCTTCTGACAAACATTTCAGAGATACTTCATGCCCTTACACCTGCCAAACCCATATATGTTTGACAGTTTGACATACTCAAAACCCGCCACCAGTCGAAAGCCGTGCCAAAGTCATTGATGTGTGGCTAACATGAGTGTCTGTTGGCAACTGCGGTATTAGATTGCCAGTTTTTCGCTGTGACCATCTTCACCATAATCCCCAGTGAAGAATGTTCGTTTATCCGTCATTATTTTATGCCTCCAGTCCAACCTCAGAATCATCTATATAGAGGTTTCCTAAGTCATGGGAGTACCCCCCAAATCATCCAGTCATTAGATCATTTGCGTCTTGAAACAACCATGGTGACTTGCCCCGGCGCCCAAGCGCCCGACTTTTGCACAGGCGCCCAGGGCGCTGTTGTAGCTGATGCTTCCAGGAACGCAACGCCTGGAATGGGCATCTGATGCCGAAAAGCTGGGGATGGAAAGATGGACATGGAAGATGATAGAACTCATCATGGGAAACTTGGGAAATTGAAGAAAAGCTGCCATGGAATTCTCTGGTGTGCTGGTTGTGGATATGTAATTGGACCCTCTGCAACTGTTGGTACGCTGATGATTTTGTTGATCAACTTGCCTCACCTACTTGCCCGTTGGTCAACTTGTTTCTAAACGTGTCATCCACAGTGGAACGAATCATAACCAACATTAGAAAAAAGAAAAAGACAGTGGAACAGTGGCCCAACCACTCTGGAAATCCCTCATGCTGGTTGGTTCATGAGCATTTTAATCATGCACAATCCACTTTAAATGGTACACTATGACAGGGTTCGTTGTATTACAAACATCGCGGTTTGCACCACCTTTTAATCACCATTTCCAGTGATCTGTAATCCCCTCAAAGGGGAAATGTAAGGACCCCTGAATGACCACTCAGTCTGCACATGCAGGGGTCCATACATTTCCCTGTTGGGGACAAAAAAAAAGATCACTGGAAATGGCGCTAAAGAATCAACAATAAATAACACGACCAATCAGTCCAAAAGGTCTCCAATTATCTATAACAGAACCATCACCACCAAATATACCAAGTATCTGGCAACCAAACTCACCAAACAACTATAAACAACTGCTTTTACCATCACTCAATGGACCAAAAAATAAACTTGAACTAGCAAACCACATTAAAATTGATAAGAGATTTCAGTGCCATTCAGAATTTAAGATCCATACCATCAAATAATTGCTTTAGCTTTAACCACGATATACCACCATCATAAACGAAAACAATAGAGACAAAACAACAACTGATATAGACCAGACTATGAACTACTACTTCGATCAATATATATACAGTATATATATCAATTCATGATGATTCTAAATCAATAAACATACTATATATATACATATGAATCATTATTATGTATTCATCTTAAATTATCAGATTTAAATCCATGATGGTCCGAAGATGGGTTTGTCCAAAAATTGGATATCCGCAAATCCACTGGCTAGTCTTAACTTTCCCAATTTAAATTGCTACTTTGAGAAGATCCCCATTTTCAGACACGCCCACTGCCCAAAAGTGTTGCTTTTATATCATTAACTGTGAAAACCTGATATAGACCAGACTATAACCACCGAATCCTTTTTAAACCCCATTGAAACAGCATTCAAATCATTATTCGTTATGCATCTTAAATGGTCAGATTCGGATCTAGAATGGTCAGATGATACCCTCCAGTAAATGATAGCTATAGAAAATGGATCATTTACAGACGACTCACCTATTCATACAGTCATTTTCCATAGCTCTGTTGGTTTACCAGAGGCTACATATTTAAACCGCAGGAAAATCCACCAAAAATCGATGATTTTCCCAGCTACAAAGCTCCATTTTGTTGGGATCTCCCATAGCCATGAAGACTTTTGACCCCTTCCCCGCGTCGCACCTGCTCGCCATCTCCGCCAGAGTCTCTTGCGCACGCGCCACGTCACCTGACCTGAAACCGATTGTGATTCCAGTGATCATCCCCAATATATTCATGGAATTAGTAATGGTTTGGTATTTAGTAGTATTAGTAATGTATGGTACACTAATTTAATTTTATTAGTAGTATTAGTAAGAATGGTATTAGTAATATATCTAATGGTATTTAATGGCTAAGCCATGGTATTTAGTAGGATTAGTAATCGTATTAATGGAGTGATAGTTAGTTCAGTGGTATATAATCATAAATTAATTGGACTGTGAGTATTTATTTACTGCCTTAATGGACTATTAATGGTTAATGGTTAATGTGATGAATAGTTATATATCCGTTAATAGTTATCCACTGATTAGTAGGGGTATTTACTTAATGGTTTAATGGCTATCAATGGTTAACTACTATTCATTCCCCAATACTAATGGACGTTACAATCCCTCGCTTATATTGAATCCACAATCTTAATGTATGTTCCACAATATCAATGGATAGTATATACTGGGTATATACATGAATGGATATTGATGGCATTTAGCAGCTTAATACATAACGGTTCTCAATCGGTTAATCCTGACTATCCTGATTATTAATGGATTATCAATGTGATAAACCAATCGACCCAATAATGCGGGAAAATGATAGTTAAATGATGGGCTAATTCTGGAAAACTAGCTAAATGATGGGAGTATTCTGGAACCAACTTTACAATGTTCCATAAACCATCCCCAAATGATCGCTTTATGAAAATGGGTATATCCCTCGAAATGGGATGATATTTATTGTGACCCCCTGTTTGGTTGGCGAATGGGATGGTTTTTAAGGCATGGGTTTGCCACATGTTCGTAGAATCCCCGAATCAATCATCAAACAAGATACTAGTATTAGTTTTGAACACGTCATTCAATCCCCAAAAGATCCAAAACTCAATGCCGAAAAGGACTGGAAACGTGGAAAATCAATGTGTGGAAGAAACATCATCGAACCATCCTGGTTGCACACTTGTCGGCATTGACCCAAATGGGGCTTTGGAGCTGGTGTTACATCAAAATGGCTACGCTCTGGTGTCATCAAACATGGCTGGAAAGTCCATGAACTGGCCATGGGGGGTTCTAGTTTGAATCATCAAACTATAGCTGGGAATTTGAAAAAGCCATGTTTGATGGAGGCCATATCAACCTCAAGATCAGATCAACTGAGATAAAAGTGGCCATTTAAAGTCAAAATTCCATCACCCAATTTTCATCAATTTTCCCTCAAATCCTTTGGTTTTGACCCCCAAAAATCTGCCAAACATGTGACCTTTTGCCAGCCCAGCCAGCCCAGCCAGCCCAGCGGCGCCTCGCACAAGCGTGCAAGATGGAATTGAAGCTCCTCAGCGGCCCCGAAAACCGCCGTTCTGGGATGGGAGACCCACGGAACTTCAATTGGGAGGAACCGGTCCGAATCCACCAAAATATTCAGAAATCATGGCTGGTAATACGTGTAATACGTGTAAATGCAACGATAACTTTTAGAAAAAGTAACATGAATTGACCATGTAGACGCTGTACACTTACTTTACAACATCACTGACTACTTAAACGTTGATAAAACCAATGCTGACTACCGTCCGGTCTTGTCACCCCTGGGTGTCGCCCCTGGGTCGCCCGGACACTTCTGTGGCCATGAGCCGATAGAACTGCATCTCTTCCATCAGAGCCACAGCCTCACTGGAAGTGTGGCCGGAAAATGCGATGTGAAAAGCCAGGTCTGTTGGAAAATCATATGGTGTCCCAAAAATGTGCCAAAGTGTCACTCAAATCTGTGGATTCTTGAACAAAAGAAACTGTGATTGTGGGCCAGTTTTTGGACATGCTGACATTTTCCAAAGCACGAAGATGACATGATGATGCTGTGAGAAACTTCAGAAATGGCGACTCCATACTGAGTATTTTCTCCAGGAAGAATCGGATTCTAAACGCTGACGATATCATGCAGCAGGCGAGAGGCAAACCTTTCAAGGAGGTGTGCCATCATTATTATCATCATCAGCAACAGCATCATCTTCATCACCATCACCACCGCCATCTATGTTGCCATCATGCTTGATAAAGCAGTGCTTTCAAAAATGATCCCCTGTGAAGGTTCAGGGTTTCTCGACAAACCATGCCTGATGGATGCAGCTGCCACGCGCACAGGCATTCACTGCGGAGTTGTAGCTGACCACATCAGGCCTTGTAGCTAGTCTTACAGGTGTGATGGATGGTTACGATGGTGATAAATGGATGTAAATGGGGGTTATCAGGGCTTAGACAGTTATGCATATCCCAAGTGCCAAAAATCTTGGCTCAACTACTCATCCACCACTTAAATGTATGAGCCAGTTGCAGCTGGGAGGGCCCTCCAGCTTGCAAGTCGGCTTGAGAGAACAAGGAAGTAGCAAGTTAATCCACGGGGCAAAACAAAACACCTAAACTTTCGCCCTTGACATCCAACTCGTGCAGAACATGTTTGAGTTGGTTTAAGGGAGAATCTGTAGCAAACCATATGGAGGTTTCCTAAGTCATGAGGGTACCCCCAGTCATCATCCATTTATAGATGGATTTTCCATTGTAAACCATCCAGCTATTGAGGTACCCCCATTGATGGAAACCCCCAAGCTCCAGACTGGGCATCCGGGCATGACCAGGCGCTCGCGCATGAGATGCAACAAGGACGTAGCACCATCTGCGACACATAAATAAAGTGGCCACAGATCTGCTGCATGTCCCGAACCATGGATTAAACATGGATTACCCTCTGGTAAACATACAAAAAGCTATGGAAAATCACCATTGAAATAGTGAGTTCCCATGAATAGCATGGTGATGTTCCATAGTTATGTAACAGTTTACCAGGCCGGGTAAACATGATTAAACCATGGAAGAAAAGAAGAAAAACTAACCTTTGTCAGACTCATCCCAGGGCGGCTAGGAAGGTGTAGGTCATAACGAAAGGTGAAAAAACAACTAACAAAGTTGTGGAATCTGCGCGAAATGTTGCTTATATATCATATATATATATATGATATATATGTATTATGTATATGTATCATCTATAAATATCATCATCCATATGTGTGGTAGGTTAGTATCCCCAAGTAATGTGCAAACCACCAGCCAGTCATACCTCTCTTCAGTGCAGTCCACACCTGCATCTTTCTGCTTGGCCCAGCGATGAATCACCAGGCTACACTCCACCCTGGACACGGTCGGATCATTTTTTCATTCATAATCCAAAGCAACTCCCAAGCAAAAGCTCTAGGAGTTGGGTCTCAACCCCCATGTATCTGGGTAAATTATAATATTTCACTAACCTGAATCTTGTGGCCATTTGGGGATGATTCCCCACAATCTAACAGGATTCCAGTGCGGGAGATCAGTGAGGTCGTTATAATTTACCCAGATGTATATCTTTCTTTGGAGGCTCCATTGCACCAATGGCCGCAGTCGAATTTCTGGCAGCTCGGGATGCTCGGGCGCCCCAACACATCAGGAGGTGTCCTGGTTTCGACCGCCAGGACTGCCTGGTTGAGACCCGGATGTCCATAGTGCCATAGTGGTTTCTATGAATCTAGTCGGAAAATCACCATTTTCTCAGTAAATCATCGGTTTTATCACTATAAATGGACCATTTATGGAAAAATCCATGTGCCTCATTTGCCTCATTTGCCATAGCAAACTGTTTTGGAAATCAGCAGAGGCTACTGATTTCCAGCTCTCCTCCTCTCCCACATCTCCAGCAACTTCTCTTGCGCTTTCTCCGCGCTAGCACCTTGAATGGATAGTTCCTGGTGCGGAGGGCCAAGTCAAACCGGCGGTCAAAACATGTCAAACATCATGAACATCCCATTTTTTTTGTCGATTGATACCTCAGTTTAGACTCAGACGGATATCTGTTAAATCAATGGGAATTCCAGGATCCTAAAATGGAGGTACTGTACCATATAAGGCCATATTTTGTAGGGATATCCCCTTACATAGGCCTTACATAGGCCTTACATATGGTAGGTACCTCCAATTTAGGTTCCTGAAATGGCCATTGATTAAAGGGATGCTTGAGATTTCAGAGACTTTCCTTGGAAAATGGCTGATATTCGAAGGCTTCATGGGAGGCATCTGACCCGCATGTCTGACCCATGGTGCAGCAATTCGTTGCCGGAAAAAATGTCGAAGTCACTGCTTGGTGATCAACGTCCAAGTGGAAGGTTAGCAGCCAGACTCGCGTTGAGGATTTCCATATTGGGTATTCAATTCATTAAGCAACGCAGTTTGTGGGTTCCAAACAACTGGCCCTATAACCCTGTAACTGCCTATAACCCATGAGCTATTAGAACATCAATCCTAGAACTGTCACTGAACTTTACTGGATTTCATATAGTTTCATAACTTCAGCCCTCTTTCAGCGTCCTGAAAGCGCATGGGTACCGAGCATTCGGGCCAGGCGTGGCTCGAGAATGCCTGCAGTTGGACACAACAAACAGTGATTGGTGGGTCCCTACCAGCTATAAATGGGTCTAGACCCTGGGTAAATAACCCATCTTAATGATCGTAAAGCAATAGAATCCACCATCCCAAATTTTATCAATGGCTGATATAAACCATAAAAATGTGGTTGGTTTTATTAGTGTTTTATTAACATTAGTGGAATTTACAACCCTAGTTCCGACTTGTCCCCGTCATTGCATGGTCCTGCAAATGATCACTGTTCCTCACCAGTTCCCCACCGCCACCAACTCAGGATGGTTTATCCACCATGTCAAGTCATGGTTCCCCAAAAAAAAACGTAAGTCTCTCATTTCAAGTACTGTTGACCCAGTTGCAACCCTAAAAAAGTGAGAAACCTCTGCATCCAGGAGTCCGCACCGTCATCGAGCACAGAACAGCGGCGATTTTGGCGATTTTGCGCTTCGGTGAGTTCGGGCAGAGCCCGCCATAGCCCATGAACCTGTTGGGATCCCTAGCTACCCTAGCTACCCTACCCTATCGCTAGGACTTATTGAATGTAAAAATTCCCCCAGTGATATGATTTTATAGGTTTTGACCCATCGCCCCAATACACTATTAATGTGGCCATTGACATCCACCTATGAAGATGGTCATTTGGTATGGGCTTTTTCGGAGCCCATGAACCCTCATGTTTTTCCCTAGGAAAAGATGTCCATTTAGCTGGCGACATCCCAATTTTCAGACAGGCCCTCTGTGTTTTTTGTGGCAAAATCAGGTGCCGCCAAATTCCTTGGAGGATTATGTTATTCAGTGTAAATGGTAATTTTGGGCTATGCGGCAAAAACCACCGTTCTTGGAGCAATCCCATGCGCGTCGGCGAATTTTGGCTGGGATTATTTTGTCTAAACGGAATCGTAAGTTGGGTCCCTTATCGATTAAGAAATAGGATGAAATGGGTAGATGATAAGCAACAAAAGATGGGGATGTAACCCGAACCAATGCAACCTGACATGTCCTAGCAGAATGGTCGTATACATACACAAATACATGTATATATATATATATACATTGTTATTATTATCATCACTATTATTGTTGTTATTATCATATATATAGTTATTGTTGTTGTGATTATTATAATTGTTATCTATATATATATAATGTATTTATATATATTATCATTATTATTGTAATTATTATATAATAAACCCGGTATTATTATTGTTATCATTACTATATAAGCGCTCTTCCTTTTTCAGCCAAGTCGTGGATTCAAAATCCATCCGGGGATGGATGGCCGTTTAAACGGCCACCCTAGCACCCGGCTAGCGACGGCAAGTGAATCACTGGAGTGCTTACAATCAATATATTATAATTATTGTTATTATTATTATTATTACATTATCGTTATTATTATTTTATTATCATCATTATCATTAGTAGTATTATACTATTATTGTTATTATACTATCACGTATACATATATGTAAACGTTCTCAAAAAACCAGGGTACCAACGTAATGTCGCCAATCAATTAGAATTGTACTAAGTGATACATCATGGCAATAACCCAGTCACAAATGGTGAGTAGCCCAAGAATGCTCAGCTGAACACCATCACGAACCCGAAGGCATCCCAGCTGATCACTACCATAGAGGCCTTGTTTTTTCTAACACGCGATGTGATGATGGGTCCCGGCCGAGTTAGATGCTGTAAGATAATATTTTGAGGAGTGTGTGATTGATGTGAGGAATTCGAACATTAATCAACACCTCCAGTTTCAATCGGGTCAAGACTGGCAACTGTTGAATAGCCAGTAGAATCCAGAATGCCAATAGTTGTTGCAGGTTCTACTTCAACAGGATTGGATTGCATACGAATTGTGTTGCTGGTCAGAATCTATCTAACCGCCAGTTGTTTAATTTCTAATGTTCATTGGAAAGGCAAGAATGCGGATCCCAAACTGATGAAAGGTCTGCCATATGTTACATATCTTTGCTTAGTGGCACTGAACCAGGTAGATCAGGTAGTCTTGGAATGTACCCTAGACTCTAGACTGAATGGGTACCCTCTGGTAATTTAACATAGCTATGGAAAATCACCATTATTAATGGGTAAATCCACTATAAATGGCCATTTTCAATAGCTATGTTAGTTTACCAGAGGGTAAACTAAATAGACATGTCAAACTACCGTGGTTTCCCAATGAAAGTCATCTACAGATGGATGTTCCGATGCCAAACAAACCTCCACTGCCCTTTTTGCGCTGCCCGTGGCCTTCAATCCATGGCGGGAAAAAAGGAGTCGCACCCCGGAAGGAAAACAGACTTGGTTCCTGCCGAAGTTTAGGTGATGCATTGAGTAATGTGAAAATCAATCCTCTTTGTATGTCTTTGTTATGTGTAATTCCTCAATTAAGTCATGTCTCTATCATGCAGTGACAATCGATTGCCAGACTCTGATCTGTTGCCTGGTGGTGAAACCTCACGGGTTCTTGATTTCGGCCCTGGAAACATTGCTCACGTGGATTTCATCGCAAACAGGGATCCAAAAGAGTACCTGAAGCCAAAAAATGCACGATCTTTATGCTTAACACCGTGACAATCGTAACACCCAACATCACTTAGGCAAGACACTTGGTCGCTGTTTCATGCCTTCATCTTCCCAGAGGTGCCATGCGACATTTTGGAACGAGGTCGATTTCAAACGGCACCATGGACGATTCTCCATGCAGAGGCCCATTATTTTTTAAGTTGTACCTGCCAAGGCTTCTATACAAGTCTGTGTGAAGTCTGCTCCAGCATCCAAGTGCTTCTGAGCTTTCGCGTAGTAATACCTGAGCTGATCCGAATTACTTCTGGAACAGGTGACTGTTTTCCAAAGTATCACTTCATTCTGAAGACCGGGTCTTCGCAATAAATAGAAGCCTACCCTCTGGTAAACTAACATAACTATGGAAAATCACCATGTTTAATGGGAAAATCCACTATAACTGGCCATTTTCAATAGCTATGTTAAATTACCAGAGGGTAGTAGGTCCCAAAATTCTACCTTCATGGAACACGATTCGCGTTAACGTTCTATCTTTCAATTTTTGTTGGCCACCCAAAAAAAAAGAACTCGACCAAACAAAAAAAAAATACAAAAAAAAAACAAGAGACTCTGGAAACGGATACTTGTCGCGTCCAGCATTGGCACCTCCATTAAACAACCCGCAGCAGCGCGGCGTTGTCTGGGTCAAATCGCAGGTGGACCAGCGACTGGCGAACCACTTGTGACAGAAAGCTCCGATGTAGTTGGGATACAACACGCCAGGAACTGCCAGGGGATCCGGACAACCTGGTGCTGCCCAAACATCCAATGTGACTTGAACGAAAAAGATTCCCAAGTCTATTCAAGTCTATTCTAGAACAGAAAAACATATGCAGAAAATCATGGAAGAAGTCTTCCCAGCAACTGTAGTTGTTCACATATGGTGGTGCATGATTGCAAGTCTGGAAGACCGTATCCTCCAGCGTTGCAATCAGACTCTTAGCCTCATCCACCCAAGGTGCCGCTGTGAGATATCCAGCACCGAAACCGCTGATGCAAAGGTTCATGATTCCACCATCCTTACGGGTTAATGGACCCTAATTTTATGACACAACTGCTTGGGGGTGTTTTTTTATTGAGTAAGTCAACTAAAAGGGGAGGAAAAAAAAAAGAAAGGACCAAACATTAGAACATGAAATCCCAGTTTTTATCCAGTTTCCCATCACTAACCATTGACCATGACTCAATGACATGGCTAAAATCAGAACATGAAGAAAATGATCGAAGTTCACAAATCAGCAGCTTTTTGGATCTGAGGATTAACCACCTCTCCACAGTGACCAGTTCTCAAGAAATCCAGCTGGAAGACGCCCGAGTCCTTCGCGAGGATTCCGTTACATCCCAAGCCCAGGGTCTGAGACGTTTCTTGACACCTGGATTTCCAGGGACTCCGTCGAAACGTGCCCCTGTTTTTAGCATCGAAAAAAAGGGACATGAAGCGTCCGTTGATGTTAGTAGATATGGCCTTTTTATGGGAAACTGTTGGATTTCAGAAGCGCATTTTTCGAGAAGGTCAAGTTCAAAAAGAGTTGAAATTGTGTTTGTTCCTCAAAATCCAATTTTTTTGTGAGTGAATTGATGTACAGTATTTAAAGAAATGTGTCGACTGCTGGGTTGGGACACCAAAAACCAGGCATGCAATGAGCCGTCACGAAACTCTCCGGCAGCAATGACCAAAGCTCCGACACATTGCGTCAGCGGATCAGGAACGCCTCCTGGCAAAGACATCTCCGAACGGGTCTGCGAAAATGTGATGGGTACCTCCCGCGCTCCACATGTATGTATGTATGTATGTATGTATGTATGTATGTATGTATGTATGTATGTATGTATGTATGTATGTATGTATGTATATATATATATATGTAATATATGACATAACTGAGGGTATCCCATATGTACAAGGGGCTAATGTATGCTTGGTACCCACTTACTGGGATACACACGTCTAGGGCATCCAAGCCCAAAAACTTTCCATGGCTTCCCCGCATCCCTCAGCTTGAAAAATCCTGGTTTGTAGAACTTTTTGGCACCAAAGACCAAATAGGCATCTGCAATTTGCCTGACAGGGTGAAAAAAACACCCCAGCTAGGGGCAACTACTATATAAATGTCCAAGGTTTAAAGTTTCCCCCTTTCCAAAAAAGGTGGCAAAAGCTTGCAGCATTGCCTGAAGGTCCAGAGCCCGTCGGCCGTGTGCTGCCAGCGTGGATCCTTGCACTCCAAGGTTTCCTGGTCGAAGACCACGTTCGATGTCGTCATAGCTGGGACGGGGTTGCCACCTTGCCCAGTTCAACTGGCCGGTCACGGGTTTTTGGCGGTTGCTTCAATCGTTCAATAGGGTTTTTCATGTTGGAGGTTGTGAACTGAAACGAGTTAGTATAGTCCCATTACTTTCACCATCAGGCAGAAGCGGGTCAAGGGGTCATCCGCGCACGCAAATCCAGGTCACATGTACACACAGAGACCTTTTTCGAGCCTTACGGTCACCTGCGCACGCAAAACGACGGTCACATGTACACACCAGCGATCCCACGGTCACATGTACACACAGGTGCGGTCATCTGCGCACGCAAAACGACGGTCACATGTACACACCAGCGATGCCACGGTCACATGTACACACCACTACTCTGGATATGGGGTAGGGTGGAGTGATAACGTTCATGTTTCTGTGCACGCACAGGCACGGCAACCTTATCATCTTTCTGGCTGCTCAGCAGACACAAGCACTACTCATCCCTGCGTTCCACTGAACTATTGTCTCCATTTTACTTCTTTATTTAAACTTCCCCCCCCTGTGTGCCACTAAACTACTGTCTCCATTTTACTTTTTTATTAAAACTTCCCCCCTCCTGCGTTCCACTAAACCATTGTCTCCATTCTACTTCTTTATTTAAACTTCCCCCCCCTGCGTTCCACTAAACTATTGTCTCCATTCACTTCTTTATTTAAACTTCCCCCCCCTGCGTTCCACTGAACTATTGTCTCCATTCTACTTCTTTATTTAAACTTTCCCCCCCTGCGTTCCACTAAACTATTGTCTCCATTCCACTTCTTTATTTAAACTTCCCCCCCTGCGTTCCACTGAACTATTGTCTCCATTCTACTTCTAGAATTTAAACTTACTCCCCCCTGCGTGCCACTGAACTATTGTCTCCATTTTACTTCTTTATTTAAACTTTCCCCCCCTGCGTTCCACTAACTATTGTCTCCATTCTACTTCTTTATTTAAACTTACTCCCCCCTGCGTGCCACTGAACTATTGTCTCCATTTTACTTCTTTATTTAAACTTCCCCCCCCTGCGTTCCACTAAACCATTGTCTCCATTCTACTTCTTTATTTAAACTTACTCCCCCCTGCGTTCCACTAAACTATTGTCTCCATTCTACTTCTTTATTTAAACTTCCCCCCCCTGCGTTCCACTAAACTATTGTCTCCATTCCACTGCTTTATTTAAACTTCCCCCCCTGCGTTCCACTAAACCATTGTCTCCATTTTACTTCTTTATTTAAACTTCCCCCCCTGCGTTCCACTGAACTATTGTCTCCATTCTACTTCTTTATTTAAACTTCCCCCCCCTGCGTTCCACTAAACCATTGTCTCCATTGTACTTCTTTATTTAAACTTAATCCCCTCTGCGTTCCACTGAACTATTGTCTCCATTCTACTTCTTTATTTAAACTTTCCCCCCCTGCGTTCCACTAAACCATTGTCTCCATTCTACTTAACTTACTCCCCCCTGCGTTCCACTAGACTATTGTCTCCATTCCACTTCTTTATTTAAACTTCCCCCCCCTGCGTTCCACTGAACTATTGTCTCCATTCTACTTCTTTATTTAAACTTACTCCCCCCTGCGTGCCACTGAACTATTGTCTCCATTTTACTTCTTTATTTAAACTTCCCCCCCCTGCGTTCCACTGAACTATTGTCTCCATTCTACTTCTAGAATTTATTTAAACTTACCCCCCCTTCTAAACTATTGTCTCCATTCTACTTCTTTATTTAAACTTCCCCCCCCTGCGTTCCACTAAACTATTGTCTCCATTCCACTGCTTTATTTAAACTTCCCCCCCTGCGTTCCACTAAACCATTGTCTCCATTTTACTTCTTTATTTAAACTTCCCCCCCTGCGTTCCACTGAACTATTGTCTCCATTCTACTTCTTTATTTAAACTTCCCCCCCCTGCGTTCCACTAAACCATTGTCTCCATTGTACTTCTTTATTTAAACTTAATCCCCTCTGCGTTCCACTAAACTATTGTCTCCATTCTACTTCTTTATTTAAACTTCCCCCCCCTGCGTTCCACTGAACTATTGTCTCCATTCTACTTCTTTATTTAAACTTCCCCCCCTGCGTTCCACTAAACTATTGTCTCCATTGTACTTCTTTATTTAAACTTCCCCCCCCTAGATAGATAGATAGATAGATAGTTAGATAGATAGATAGATAGATAGACAGATAGATAGATAGATAGGCAGATAGATAGATAGATAGGCAGATAGATAGATAGATAGATAAATAACGAAAATTCAAGACGTTTCCTATTCGCGTGTAGTTGCGACCATGGCCGCACAGATAGCCTGCTTAAACCAACTCCCACGCATGGCTGCAGATAGCAACAGCACATATACCACAAGTTTCGATTTTCATTGTATTTTACAAGCAAAAAATGCACATCTCCTATTCGCATGTAGTTGTGAACTTGCCCGCGTGTACATGCGACTATCTCCCACAAGTCGTCCGCGTGTACATGCGACCATGGTTTCGCGTGTACATGCGACCCCTCGACCGCCATCATTTGTGGATTCTATCCAATATAAGCCATACATATTATACACACATGTGTGTATCTATACGTAGTATATATATATACTATCTATATATGTATATATGTACGCTGCATATCATTTGTCGATGCTGAGGCCCAAGTTTGTTGCTGATTCTTTCCATTTTACAGCATCAACCAGTCTGGTGACGTGGGCCCACCTGGTCCAAGACCCGGAAACTCTGGAAGTCGCCGGCTCGTCAGCTGTACCGCACTGACATCCTCACAACTCTCAGGCGAGGCAAGGACAGCTGGGCAAATGACCAGAAGAGCTGCAAGGAACGCCATGTGCCAGCGAAACGGCGCTGTGCAAGTGTGGCATGTGGAAGTTTGGTGCTATTGGCATCCCCGTCGAAGTCAAATGATCAAGGACTCCTGTCCTGCTGTCTGGTTGGACAACCAAAGTCTATACTATATATATATATACCAATTCACAGATCCATGCAGTCTGCTTGAAATGGCGCATTTTCGGAAACCATCGCCAGGCAAAATCATCATTACCACTCCTCAAGTGATGTGATCATGCTACATGATGTTACACACATTTATGGAGGAGAACTACAAGAAATTATTTGCAGCTCGCTATGGCGACATCGGCGAGATGCCCACCACATTTGCCCAAGCAGATTCGCAGATTTTACTTATCTGGAAAAAAATGGAATGAATGATGTTCATCTCCATTGCTAGGCAAACAAGATGCAAAGTGTTACCACATGAACTTAGTTCCAGGGCTGCATTGGAATTATCACCTCCCTTTCGGAAACACTCCCCAACTAGATTGAAAAGCTTTTCCAAAATGTTACAGATGATATTTACATGGCTCATCACTGGAAAAACATGCGGCTTGCTGTCGCTGCAAATTTGCTTCCAACAAGGGAAGCTCCCATCCATCTCATATTGTTCGGTATGTGCCCATCACATCCAATTATATCGCACTATATCCCACTCCCACTACAAGTACTAGATCCCCATCATATCCCCATTATCTCCCCATTATCTCCCCATTAATGCTGTTGAGAGTAGAACAAACTAAATCCCAACTTGCATTGGTTGAATTCCCATTTGTTGGTTGTTGAACCCTCAATTTTGCCACATGTTCATTTAAATGTGTTTATATATATATAACTCTATGTCCATCAAAAAAATAGCTATGGCCCCTGTCTAAAGCAGTTTGGCACCCCGGATGTGGCCATCCAAATATCCCAGCCATCCAACATCTAAAATGTATTCAAGTTCCAGAGTTTTTCAGCACTTGGATACTCATGTTTCTTGCTTCAATCCCGATTCTTCAAGCGGTTTTGTTTCATCATTTTTGCTGTTACTTACCCATTGGGTAATCAGCTCCATGGCTTGCTGGAAAGCCCCATTCAAATAGTTGCTCGAGGGTAATATCCCCATATCGCCATAAAAAAAAGCCAATGTTGGGTGGTGAAATCACCATTTTTGTTGCTTAGTCACTATCAATCATTATTCACCATTACTAAACACTACTATACAAACACCACTATTAATCACTATGACTATTTTCCACTGTGAACCACTATTTTCCACTATGAACCACGATTACATCCTCAAGTCCCTCTTTTCACATTTTTCGGCTTCGACTTCATCGAAGACCTCCGGCGCAGGACCTTCCGCGCCTTTGGCGAAGCCGACGACAGCGTCGTTGGCGTCGGCACCTTGCGCAGTCGTCAACCCAGATGGTTTCAGGAAATATAAATACTAATATGGCTCACTAGGAATACTAATCTTTTCTGACAAAAAATAATGCTCCATTATGGTTCACAATATCAGAAACACAAAAAAAACTCTGGTGGATCACTAATAATACAGGCAAACCCCTCCGTTTGCCCGCACTGACCTCCACGGCATGCCCGAACATCAAAAAACACTGTGTTTTCTGGGACAAAATGTCCATGATCATGGCTTTCATCTTGCTACGCACATCTTAGCAACCTGTGCGTTGAATGTTGCAACATCATCATCACCATCATCATCATCATCATCATGATTGTCGTCATCATCATCACCATCATCATCAAGATCAACATCAACATCAACATCATCAGCCCTAAACCCTAAACTCCTTGAAAATTCCCTTGGATATAAAGTAGAACGGGGGTGGTGATTTGATGATTCCCTAGAAACTCTGTTGAAACATCTTTAAGATTCCCTTGAATATAAAGTTTAACGGGGGTGCAGATTTGATGATTCCCTAGAAACTCTTTTCAATTATCTTTAAGAATCCTTCAATAAATATCCATTGCAACCCCTAAAAAGTTGTGTGGGCGGGGGCTGTTGCGCATAATAATACTCATAGAACCAATGTCCTTCTGATTTTATAGCAAATCTTATAATAAACAAATGGGTTCATAGACCAATTTCAAGTTGTCGTGAGCTGGAACTGTGCCTCATGGCACTCTCATGAAGTTGCTGATCGGGCAAAGTGTGCATAAAACATCATAAAACTATCAGCATCTGATCATCAAAGGTAGATCATGCTCCCAGTAGATCAAGGCTGGACGTCGGGTCCCCCCATTTTTTGTGATCTGGAGCCCAGCCCCTAATCATGGATATCGGATATCCATCATGTACCCTCTGGTAGACATACGAAAAACTATGGAAAATCACCATTTTCAATGGGTAAATCCATTATTTCAATGGCCATTTTCAATAGCAAACTGTCAAATTACCAGAGGATATGGTGTGGACTCCTATAGATCAACAGTAATGCAATCCCAACCCTTGAAAACACGCGCAAAAATTATCTGCACGGTAAACAAAAAAACACCTAAGTTTTGGGGCTGCCTAGTTTTCACCCATACACGTTGTCAACTCACCAAAGCCCTGGCTTTAGTGATTACACCAAGGCTGTGGTTTTTACCCTGTAAAAAACCACCTGTCACTTCCCAATTTTCAGGACTATTCATGTGATCAATACCGTATTGAGACCTAATCGCCCAACCGCCCAACCGCATCATTTCCAACGGTAACATGAAGCCCAGATCCTGCCTCGGCCTCCTCGGCCTCGGCCTTCGCATCGTCCACAAAGATCAAGTCCCGCGGAAGTCGGGTGTGACAGCAGAACCAGCAGAGGTATTTGAAGGGCAAGATCTCCTCGCTGGGAGGCCCTGGGAGGCCCTCGGCTGCCCTGGGATGGTGAGCGACTGGCTGAGTCTAGGCATGACCATGGCTGGGTTGAATTTAACCATAGGAAATTCTTGATTTACCCAGATGGTGAATTACTAACCATAGGAATTGGTTTAAAAAAATCCTATGGTTAATTACCCATATCGCATGGTTTTTTACCTGATCAGAGGTTAACTACCCATATAGTAGCATATAGCACTCGGGAGGCTCGTTGAATGGATATGCAGCATCAGCACAGGTGGTAAGGATGTACTTTGGCAGCCACCCGAAGATAAACGACAATCTTGGTTGGCTTTTCAATCCCCCAAAAAGGACAACCAGGATGGACTAGGTCTGACTTTCTATTGGAATTACGACATCAATTGTATCATCAACGCTGGTAGGATTCCATCTGCAGCCAAATCCTGTTCAGCTGAGCCATGAAAAATAGCCCTATCCCATTTCATTATACTAGTTGGTTCATAGGTTTCGCTGGATCAGTTCATAATCCCCAATAAATTAGGTTATTACTAGGTTCAAAATAATCCATTAACCTACCTAGTTTATTGGGGATTATAATGGCTATTGGGTCATAATAATCCCCAATAAACCTGGTAGGTGTTTCTAACCCTTTACAATAACCAACCAGGATCAACCAGGCGATTTTTGTCATGGCTCTATGTCTCTATGTTTTGCCATGAGTAGCTGTGGTTTCGCATGAAATGGGCCATGGTCACCACATGTCACCAACATTTTCAGCCCAGTAGGATGAGTTGCGATTCCAGATCATTCCAGATCATTGATCATCCAACATTGATCTAAACAGATCATCCAACATTGATCTAAACATTGATCATCCAACATTGATCTAAACATTGATCTACTGGAGAGTCACTTGCCACGTCATTGCCACGTCTGGCTGGCCACGGGCGGTCCTTGCCAGTCTTTCGGACGTGCACTCGTCGAGGGATGATGGCCTGAACAAAGGGTGACGCTTGCAGCTTGGAAAATCCCTTAGAAATGGAGGTTTCTAGCTGGGAAAATCATCTATTTCTATGGACCATGGCTTCCATGGCGAACTGTTAAATAACCAGAGGGTAATACTTTATATAACACTGAAATATTCCCAAGTATCTAATTGAATCAAATTATTGTTACTTTGCATACTGAAGATTTACTGTATTTTACAGGATATAAAGATATATAAAGTATAAAATTTCCTTGAATCCGACATGATTCTGCAGGACTCTGGCAGGAACACCTGCCAAAAAAATGGCAACCCCCGACAAATCCATCTCAATCACGCCTGAACTTGTTGCATGTCAATGATTTCTCGCACAAAGCCTCGGCATTCATTGCTTGCAGCTGTGGGACATAGTTCTATTGCCACCAACTAAAGAAGGATCCAAAAAACAACGCAATCTTCAGTCATGTTCCTATGTATTCCAGAGTTCTTCATTGAATCATCCAACCATCCACCATTGTATAGTAATCCCATCCCTCTAATATTGTTAGTTGATGTTGTATAGTAAGTACAGTATTCATTCAAGATCTCCACGTTGGATGCTGGGTTCCCATGGTTCCCCACCCACATGGAGCACGGAGATGGGCAGAAGCATCGCAAAGGGCTTTCCACACTGTGCCAAAGAGCGCAAAACACGCTCCTGGCCCGGAACTGGAACCGGAACAGTTGGGTGTGGTTGAATGGACACAAAGTGGTGATAAAAAACATGTAGAAACATCCCAAAAGCGTGGGGGTAAATCATTTCAACCACACGTGAAATTTTTGGATCAGAGCTCAGGTGATTAGTGACAGTTCGAGTGATGTTTCACGCAATTTGAAGTGGTGGTGACCTGAAGCCCTTAGAATAATTCTCCTTGGTGATGACGTCGATCTTGCTAGGGGAAAGTCGCGGAACTTCCCGATACATGTTGGGAGCTTCGGCTGATGAATTCTGGGACACTTCAAAAGGGCAACGGTTGGACCAGCCTTCATCTCAGGGGCCGTGTAGGGCGGGTTGTCCCAAATCAAATCCACCCCTGGGCGCGATGTGGGCGCAACTGAGTCCCCAGGATGTTTTCACATTGGGAGCAAATCAAGGTCTTGAATTCTTTACGGAAATTGTCCAAAGGAGATCCTTTGTGATATGTTCTGATTGACACACATGAAAAAAAAAACGATTCATTTTTGAACAACACCGGAGTTGTAGAAAGCAACCATGGTTTGATTTTTTAAGATTGATGTTTACTCAATCGGTCTGAAAGAGGGTATCCTTGAATTCACGGTTTAATCCATGGTTTTTCCCCAGCAAAACATGTTGCGGTAAACCCGAGTTTGAGATACCTCCAAATATCATTTATATAATCATATGGGTCTGTCTGAAAATGGGGTATACCTTCAATGAAATAGCCATTTATATAGTAGGGATTGTCTGATCAGCAAAACCATTGGGTACGTTTTGGGGTACACTATGAGATCCCCATCAGCATCATCCCACCATCCCCAAGGCACTACTAAGGAAGTCACGGTCCTCCACTCCTGACCGAAAAATGGGGAAAAGATCATCGAAGAGTCGCGAATCCGGGAACTTACTGGTGCTTAATTAGTAGGGTTAATGGATGGCTTGCTGGGGGTTGCTGGGATTATGACTGATAGTGATGACATGGATCAGCAACCCCCATTCCCTACTAAGTAAGCACCAGTAAGGTAAGGGTTCTATCTTCTTTGGACAATGAAATTCAAATCTATGAACCCATCCTGGAAACAATAGGACAAACACTTGTTTGGTTCTATCCAAAAACTAGGTCATATACCAAACACCCATCATGAATCATGTGGCGAGAATGGTCAGAATATGTGTAGCCAATAATTGGTGCCCGGACGAAGCAACCATTTGCTACAACTAGTGGTGCTAGGATCACTAGGCTAGTCAAAAAGTGGATCCAGCTGAGAATACATGGGCCGTGTTAGGCACCACCGATTCAGCAATGATGGGTTGAAACCCTTTGAGCAATAGAGTCCAAGCAATTAGACGTTGGTCATGGTTTGTAGTCAACTATAGTATTCCATCCTCGGGCTACCCAATGGTTTGACCACTATCTCAATTTTTTTACAGCGAGCCCTCTGTAATTCCTCCTTTTGAGGGTCTTGGCAATCTCTTTCTTCGCATTGCAATGCCCAATATCGCACAGCTGCAAGCTGTTGCAAGCCTGTTGCAATAACAAGTTGCCCTCAAAATGGTGGGTTTTTACCGGTCAAAAATTGTACCAGATTTTTCCAAACCCAAAAACGCCGTCGAAAAAAAAATAGAGACCAGTCACGTTGGAAGAAATCCTCTTGCCGATGGATGACGTTCAGGAAACCCAGCGAACCTCCACCAGACCCATAGGGGCCCCTTGAGAAGGTATCTCTTCCCAAATAATCCCATCACCCTAATAATTATTGAACACCCCATAAATGGTCCCAATGGAATGTGGAAATTCCCTACTAAACCATGATTTTGTTTAGGGGGTGTTTAATATTAGGGGGAAGGGATTAACCCAGCAGACGAAACAGTGTACCTCTGTTTGTTCCCACCGTGATCCAAATCGACTTGAATTAGGCCTTTCTGACCCTATGTCAGTTCGGCCAACGACCGTATCAACCAAATCAAACTTTAAACATCCAGTTGCTCTAGCCAAGAATGTTGTGAAATGGATGGTCAAATGCTACAAATGACCAGCCATATGCAGCTCCATCGCTTCCCCGCTCCAATGTTGGGCTCCCTACGAAGGTGGTCGGCACAGACTCCATCGTAGTAGAAAGGCATCCAAACCTCAGCACTTTGTCACCTACTGTGTGAAAGCGAGAAAAAAGAATGAAAGTTTTTTGAGTCCCCCAAATGATGTTCTTATTCAGCTGGGGTCTTTGGTTTTTTGGCCATTTTTGTGATTGCGGCAATTTCCACTCACCACAGGTTGGACTTGGGAAAGGGTTCAGTCAACATCTTTCAACCTCAATCCTCAACGGAACTAAATTTCTTGTAACAAATAAAAACTATATAAGGCCACCTGCGGAACGACAACGCACTCTAGTTCTATGACCCCCCAAAATTGGGCAGCTATCATCATGGTTTTGAGGTGATGAGATTGGAGGATGCCTACTCAGATTTCTGGGCCAAATTTCATCCCAATCAACTTCGATCTGCAACCTCGCAGACTTTTTTGTTAGACATCGCCCATAAAAAAGGAAAAGGAGGGTTCTGGGAGGGGGCAAATTTAGTTGTTTGTTTGTTTGTTTGTTTGCTTGCTTGCTTGCTTGCTTGTTTGCTTCTTTGTTTGTGTGCTTGTTTGCTTGTTTGCTTGTTTGTTTGTTTGCATGTTTGTTTGTTTGTTTGTTTGTTTGTTGGTTGGTTGGTTGGTTGGTTGGTTGGTTGATTTGTTTGTTTGTTTCTTTGTTTGTTTGTTTCTTTGTTTGTTTCTTTGTTTGTTTCTTTGTTTGTTTCTTTGTTTGTTTCTTTGTTTGTTTCTTTGTTTGTTTTTTTGTTTGTTTCTTTGTTTGTTTCGTTGTTTGTTTCTGTGTTTCTTTGTTTGTTTCTTTGTTTGTTTTTTTTTCTTTGTTTGTTTCTTTGTTTGTTTCTTTGTTTCTTTGTTTGTTTCTGTTTTTTTTCTTTGTTTGTTTCTTTGTTTGTTTCTTTGTTTGTTTCTTTGTTTGATTCTTTGTTTGCTTCTTTGTTTGTTTCTTTGTTTGTTTCTTTGTTTGTTTCTTTGTTTGTTTCTTTGTTTGTTTCTTTGTTTGTTTCTTTGTTTGTTTCTTTGTTTGCTTCTTTGTTTGCTTCTGTTTGTTTCTTTGTTTGTTTCTTTGTTTGTTTCTTTGTTTGTTTCTTTGTTTGTTTCTTTGTTTGCTTCTTTGTTTGTTTCTTTGTTTGTTTCTTTGTTTGTTTCTTTGTTTGTTTCTTTGTTTGTTTCTTTGTTTGTTTCTTTGTTTGTTTCTTTGTTTGTTTCTTTGTTTGCTTTGGTTATTTGTTTCTTTGTTTGTTTCTTTGTTTGTTCTTTGTTTGGTTCTTTGTTTGTTTCTTTGTTTGTTTCTTTGTTTGTTTCTTTGTTTGTTTCTTTGTTTGTTTCTTTTTGTTTCGTTTCTTTTTGTTTGTTTCTTTGTGTTGTTTCTTTGTTTGTTTCTTTGTTTGTTTCTTTGTTTGTTTCTTTGTTTCTTTCTTTGTTTCTTTCTTTGTTTCTTTCTTTGTTTGTTTGTTTGTTTTGTTGACGCTCAATTGCCTCCTTCTTACCACTGATGTTTTTCTGTTGGGTTTCTAGAGAGATTTTGGGTGCTGGTTTGGCTCGCTATATATATATGTGTGTGTGTATAGCTTAAATGGATGAAGGGAGGAAGCGTTTTTACTGTTAGGGTTTTATGTTTGGTTTCTTTCAGATACATCTAGAAGATATGCTGTCGTTTGCCCGAAGCTGCAATGTGATGCCGGGAAGACTATCATCATCGATCCCAAAACCCAAGAAAGAAGAGCAGCCTAAATGGTTGACCCATCACTTGAAGATTACGGTGAATCTATAAAATGCGGTTGAGCATCCAAAAAACAAACAACTCTCCTACCCTGAATTGTTGCTCTATCATACAAAGGTCAATGCAAATCTATAAGATGGATCAAATGACCTTGGTTGCCTTGGGCAATCGACGGTGCCTCTGCTTTTATAGAAAAAGAAAATATAATGATGTGATCATTTTTTTGCTTTCCGATTTCCTATTCCATTCCACAAGTGTTCAAGCATCCTGATTGTGTGTCAACTACGGCCAAGGTTCGTTTGTACTATGTTCATCCATTGCAAATGATAAAGATTCAGATTCATATCAACTGATAAATTATATGCTTGAAGGATTGTCCGCCACGGTTGAGGTTTCTTACCGTAATCAACGATGACCTGTATCCGGCAAACTATATGCCAAAGGTCATCACCCTCAGAAGGCCCTTTCTTCATCTCTCAAATCCTTCACTTTATGTCTTTCAGAAAGAGTGGAGGGGTTGAGATGTTCCTTCAACTCTTTTGGGTCACACTTGTGTCTTCTTCATCATTTTCCAGGAACATATTTATTTGCTTCTGTTCCATTTCCATAAGTTTGTGTTCCATGTCTTTGTGTTAAGCAAATCCGATCAGTAAGGCTCGTTGTGATTATTTGAAGAACTGATATCTGTAATTTTCCGACATCCAGGCTAAAATCTAACCGGTTGTTGACTCTTACTAATATAGGTTTGTTAATCATACATGTGTGTATATATATACATATACATATATATATACATATATATATTGTAAGGAAACTTTTAATCCGAATACTACAATTAATGGCAACGAAACTATCGAGCAAGCAATGTCTATTACAGTCTTGAAACTGTTTTCTGCTCAAAAGGAACAAGACCCAGATATTTTAATGAAAATAAGCAACAAAGAAATTAGGAGATACAGGGGTTCAAACTCATACGCTGCTCCGCAACTTTTGAATATCTGACATAATGCCGGTGATGGCCTTCAAAATCTAGGTTTTTCCAATGTTAAATGGTGCTCAAACAGTTTTTTGAAGATGAGAGCATCAAATCATCACCTGGACAATATGCCCAAAACGTCCCTCACCAAAAAATCAAAACCGATAACAACATATTGAACCAAATGATAAGAAACACAACAACCAACAAATACAAAAATACAAGCCCCACAACCCCCCTACCATCTCTCTATATATCCGTAGGGTTTTTAAAAAAAAAAACGTGTTTCTCCTCCAAGAGTTTGCTGAGGAGATTTATACATCTGTTTAGGGTTCATTTACATCTATGTGGTGTCATATGCAGATGTCATTTACCATCTGGTTATGACTAACAGTTCGCCATGGAAAATCACCATGCTATTAATAGGTAAACCATCTATTTCTATGGGCCATCTATACCATGGCGAACTGTTAGTCATAACCAGAGGGTATGTGTAATTACGACATTTCTGTGTGCAGATGGGTGGCCGTCTTCTTCTTGTAAGCGGCAAAATACCTAAGTTCGTGAGACCATGGATCGAATGGACCACAGAACATCCAACCTTCACAGTTGCACCCCTGGATGCCATCCCCCATGTGAGTCATAACCCACCAAAAAAATTAGGGAACCCGCATGGCATGGAACAAATCCAGTACATGGAATGCACTCCACCAGGTTTTCTTGCCGGGTGTATTGCATGGATAAAATTGCTTCACTGGTTTACTGTTTTGTTTTATTTCACCATGGAACTGGAAAAAAATCACGACCTCTAAAAGCTGTTAGCCTCACGTTGCAGGCTTTCTGAAGCCACTCGAAAACCTCTCTGTTTCAGGCCCCCGGCAGCTGCCAAAAGAATGGAAAATCCAGAAAATCCTGAATTTTCCATGTCCCAGTGGCGGCGCGACTGCTCTCCATGCGTCCAGCGTCGTTTGCCATTCATCGTTGGCCACCCTGGTGAGTCGTGATCGAAAAATCATCGAGCAAATCATAGGAAAAACCATAGGAAAACCATGGGAAATATGGGAAAATCATAGGAAAGTATATGGCAAATCCAAGAACTACATGGAGGTTTAGTTCGCTGGGAAAATCCTCAATGAGCGAGTTGCGAGTTGCAAGGATTCCGAAAATTCCTCTGAGATGGATAAAGAATCCTGTACTCTCCGGTTGTTACATAGCACGCTACAAAACCCACCAGTCGTAGATGGGTGTCCTGCTGAAAAATGATAGCGTGACAAATTTAACAATAAATCAAGTGTGGGTTTCAAACAGAGTGCAAAACCTCCGACCTTGCTGGGTCGTATTCCATTTTCGTTGCTTAAATTATTCCTGATTGGTTGCATCCTTTATGTTTGGTATCCCCCACACCTGCAGCTCAAGAAGTTTGACTTCGTTGCAATGGGTGGACCCCGTCGTGGCGCAGCCCCTGCCGGGCGAAAAAAAATGTTCAGCAAAAACCCAAAAAAAATATTGTATATGGCAACCCCCCCAAAAAAAAAATATATCATAACCCCCATTATTATTTTAGTGGGATGTTAATTTTTACTTATGGGGATGACTCTACATATCACAATCAATTTTTCGTCATTATCATTTATGGCAACCCCAAAGATTAACCATTCGGAAACAATTCCTTTTGGCGATAAACAGGATG